GCAATTTATCCATAAAGAAAACCAGGCCATTTGAAGCTTACTAGAGACTCAAAACAAAACTCTTGGAAAACAATCCATTTTACAATCAACCACAGTCATGATATCACTGCTGTTTCTCTGTCCCTTGGAGATACCTTAACCTTTTCTATGATGTCAGAAATAAAGGATTATGACTTTAAACAGGGAATAACCAGCTGGGGAAAATGAAGTTGTTCAAAGACTCCTACACATCTTGATGCTGCATACGAGGACAGACAGACATGTGTGGCAGCACAAGGCCGAGGTGAACGGCCCCATCACATTTTCCTACAGCCTCCCGGGGCCATGCTGGGCTTTTCTTAGCATCTGCCCTGCATGGTTCTCAGTGTGTTAGCAGCATTCTTTGCTCTGGCAGCATATCCTTGGGAATCTGCTTGGCTGTAATTAGACTTTTTTTTTTTTTTTTTTTTTTTTTTTTCTTCATAGATTCAATGAGGTTCTGCTGTGTCTACCATCATCAGGGTAAGAAAGTCATTCCCTTCTTCCTTCAGGTCCAGCTATCTCTACAAAACCCTCCCAGCTCCCAGTGTCAGACAAGCGATCTGGAATTAAGATTGTCTGTTGGTGTTTTATTATACTGCCCTGTAGGGCTACCCAGGAGTTAAAAGCAACGTTAAAAGCAACATGGAAAATATAAAAGCTCTTGGTTGACAACAGCAAGGAAATATGACGAGGATAGCAGGCTCTCAAAAAACACTCAGTTGGGATGTTATACCCTTCCTCCCATAACAGAGAAGACTGAAATTTTTCTGCCTATCAGTTTCATTCACAGCCAGTCACCGTGTGAGCTCATAACATTCCTCACATGTGCCAAGCTGCGTAACATGAGGCTCTAGGCAAGATCATCCCACAAAATCCACAAGCCCCATGCACTTGGCCCTACATGGGTCCTTCTTGATGCTTCAGTCAGAAGGAGCCAAGTACCTAATGCAAGTTTAGAAAACAAATAGAGCTGCAGAGGAAAGCTTGCATTTCTATTCTGACTGAAGTTTTCTACTTGAAAAGTGGACATAATTTCTGCTTTTCTTTGAAGTTGATTTTCACTAAATTTAGTAGACAACACTTTCCATTTATTATCTTGAAAAACAAGAGGGGTGGCCAAAGTTTGAAATGAACTGATATTTTATGACTGTGCTTCATGAAGCAATCCAAAACAGCAAACAACTTGAAACATTATCTCTATTTGCATGTGGCACATTTGGCACATGCATAGGCAGGCAGTAGAGCTTACAAGTGAAGAGCCTGGGCCCTGAAGTCAGCCTGATCTGACCCTGGCTCCCCGACAGGCTTGGGAAAGTTACTGAATGCTTTATACAGAGCCACAGAGGTTATGTCTCCTCACTTGTAGAATGGGTGGAACAACCCTATGCACCTATGAGGGATGTTGTAGGATAGATTAAAAATTGTAGGATAGATTAAAAAGGGCCGCTGTAAATTGCAGACTGGGTTATAAGTGAACAGCTTACTTTATGTGCTGCTTAGGCAGATGACTGCAATTTGTTTGCATTCACTGAGTCAGGTAAGGTAAAGTTTAGAAAGAGATGACTCCATAGAGATCACCCTCGGATTGTTTGCCAATAAAAATGCACGTGCATATAATCTCAATCATTCTATTAATTACACTTGGATATACTGACTCAGAGAAAGGCTTGCTACGCTATTAGAACTTTCCTTTTCTAATACCTGAATCTCAGCTTCTACATTTCTGTTCCCAAGTCCTTACACATGAGGTCAGAAATCATGGCAGTTTGACCTAAGTTAGGCAAGCAAGGTTAGATAACTAGGGTAAAGTTCCTGGTGGAGCAAGATGCTAGTTTTTCCTCCACCTAAAACATAAGACAAATTTCTGCTGGAAGGAGAATATCAGGAGGCTTTAAAGGAGAAAATCAGAATGAAGACTTGATTTCATGTCCCAATGAAACCAGTTAAAAAAATGAGTCAGAGAGAACAAGTGACTTGTACCTGTCTCAGGTAGCATGAAGTAGCAATCCAGGTCTCCTCACTAGGTATCATGCCACAATTTGCTGGTTGTCAAAAGGGTGGCTTATGTATCTGATCTTTGGAAACGGGTGCTTTTACCAGAAACACTGCTTCTCCAGGGATTTTCATGAGCCTTGTCCTAGTATCCCATGAATTTGCTCATCCATCATCCCCTTACTAAACAAATATCCACTGAGTGCCTACTATGTGCAGCCATTGGCTGGATGTGTTCTATAAATATCAAGGATAAGTTAACCATAAATAATTCAGTGCTTATTTCACAATAAAATGACAAGATAAATTAAAGACAAGAGTTAAATTCTGAAGTCATTATTTGTGGGTAAGGCATGTGTGTGTGGGGGGCTGGTAAGTGCTCAATGCTTAGTTTAATAAGCAATGCGAAGGCACGGAGCATGCAGCTGAAGCTCTGCGAAGCACACCTCCACCACTGCTATTTACTTAATGAATACTCCTGGGCACTCTTTAAATTGAAAGATGGTTCATTAGATTTGTGCATCTGCCCTTCTCAGCAATCTGTTGTGTTTCTGATGAAGGCAGAGAAAAACACGAACATATCATTGACGGATATGTTATGAGTAACTCAGCTTCCAATGATTACAAAGTCATAAAGAGCTCAGGATGCCTAATTTGTCTGAATCATTCTCTGCCCATTCCTATCAAGTTCTCCTTTTTCCCATCTTGAAGATTTCAAGTACTAGCCCTTAAAAAAACTCTAATCACCTCATGCTATTTTCAAGCTATAAAAATATGCATATTTTTAAGATATCAAAAAATGAGTCCCTTCAAAAGCAGCTCAAAAATCATCTTCTTCTTGAGGTTTTCCCCTTTTGTCCTAATCAAGGCAATCACCACCTCCTCGAGACTCCTTTCCACATTATATATTATTGTATATTCTGTAATCTTCCCCCGGGGGTGGATACCTGTAGTGTGTGCCTATCAATAAGCTCTTGGAAAGCAAAGAAAACATATATATATATTTTTTAAACTTTGTCCCTGGATCAGGACCTGCTACATAGGAGATGCTAATAAAGTGTTGAACTGAACAGATCAAAGATAAGTTTCCCTAAAGGGGACTTACACTATGAAAACAGACTTGCCACCCCTCAGCAAACATTTACTCAAGGACTCCTGGGTTCTAGTACCAGGAAGGACACATGAGGGGAGGCAGGGACACAAACAGGAGTGTAAAAATGTCCCTGCCCTCGGAGAACACATAGCATGCTTCTCAGAGGCTGAGAGTGACAATCCTCTGGAGGTGCTTTCTGGAGGGAGCATCTGTTTTCAGACAGTGCCTCAGAGAATGAGCCATATTCTCAAGAGGAAATGCAGAAAGGTCCTTTCTCTCATGAAGAAGCTGATATCCACTGATAATTTCTACCATTCTACTTAGTGGATTCTTCTCCGAAATCAGTCTTGGATAAAAACATGGCCAAGTAACCCAGGTTCATCATTCACTACCGCCAGTGGTGGCCTCTGTCCACCTGGCAGGACCCCAAGTGGTGAGAGGTAACTGATGTCTGCAGGTTGAGTAGGCTTGGCACTGATCCTCCAATCGCCTACAGAATATGGCACTATGTCAGAAAATGCAAGATGGAAATTTAGCATTTAGTTTTTATTCTGGAATTTAATTTTCCCTCCCCCCAGAAAGTCAAGTGATCAAGATGGTGAGGAAGATGTGAAAGACTGAATATCAGTTCTGTTAAATCAACTCAGGAAAAATGCAAGTGAAAGTTGTTCTGTATGAGATGGTGACTAACAGATTCACACACAGATGTGGCTTTAGGCACTGCTAGTGTGCTCACCTGTGCTCATCTTACTGAACAAGACACACCAATAAATAATCAAAATACAGTGACATAGATGCCACAGAGGTAGGAGTAAAATATATAGGCAGCCTATAGGAGACAATGTTCAACTCTACCTAGGGAATGAAAAGATCATGCCTAACCATTGTTGGTAGTAAAGATCATGCCTAACCATTGTTGGTAGTAAAAAAAGATCATGCCAACCATTGTTGGTAGTAAAAAAAGAGTTTTCACATGACACTGTAGATACTTGTCAAATTAACTGATTTAGAGAAAATCATTCATTTAACAAACATTCGATTGCCTACCATGCACCAGAAATGGCTTGTTACTATTACTGAACTGAATACATTTACATAAGAATGTGTATATCTTAACATCCCCAGATATTACTGGTCAATTAAATTGCAAAAATCAAAAATTTCGATAGATTCTGCTGCCCCAAAAGGTAAGTGTGTGGCATAAACCTGGTCCCTAAAAGCAGCAGCAACAGATTGCTCTGCTTCCTCCCCAACGGACAAGAAGACAACTGTGACAGTACGCTATACTCACTAGTGCCGGATCACTTTCATGTTGCCATGACGAAGAAGACTGCAAAGCCCCAAGCAGCCATGAAAAGGATGGGAAAATCCCTACACAGACCTCAATAGTGTCAGATTCTCTCTTGCCTCTTTCAGATGCATCCTTAAGCCTCAAAGGACTGATATTTTTAGTCAGAGTTTTCAGCATGTCCTGTAGAATAAATGTTTTCTTCTGCACTTGGTAAAACAACTGGCTGGGTTTTGAGAACTAACTTTCTGCCAGGTCCTGTCATGGTTCAATACTGCTGGAAACTCTATACATAGATTTTCTTTTGTCCTACAGACACAGGGGAAAACGCTCGCCCATAACATTTGGATGCTTTTCAAGAAGCCTCCACTGCTGCTCTGAGCAGCCACTCCTTTCTACACAGGAGACATGAGATACGAGATTATGCTTCCGGTTTTATGAGGTGCATTTATCATTAAGGGGAGTGAACGAAGGTTATCATGCCTTGTTCTACCCAGGAGCATCTTTCATACAATGGAGGCAGTCAGCCTGCTCCATCAGAGCCCACTGCATAGCCTCACCCCAACTGCTGAGCAGGGCTTATTTAAGCCTCTGATCAACACCTACCAGTAAGGTGAAGCTGTGTTCCGGTAGCATCCCATACTGCTGGACGAGCTTCTCCCGGGTCACCCTGGGGAGCTCGGGGAGCTGCTCTCGAAGCTGGTCGATATTGATCACTTGCTGTGGGTCTGCACCAGCAGGGAGAGACGCTGAATCATAGAGCAGCAGGGGAGGCAGGTTGGGCTCAGGAATAAACCTAGGCAGAAAGGATACAGGGCCTGATGCTGATGTATTTAGTTTGATAAGAAAAACCCAATTATTCATAGGAAAGTTTCTGTATAGAGAGGCCTTGTCACCGCAAACGTTTTCTAATATCTTACAATATCAACATTGGCCCCTTGTTTCCTGGGAATCAGTCTGTGCACAAGTATAAACAACAGCTAGAAACACCAACCCTGCTGATTCCCATGCTTAGGAACTAGTGATGAGTGAGAGGCACCGCACTGTTCGTGCCATGCTGTGATGTACACTTGTGGATAAAGTATCTATATATGTAAAAGCCTAATATGTAACATGTCCCCTTGAGAGTTCAACCGACTAGGAGTTCCATTGCTCCCTATGACATTTGATGACCACCAGGGGGTGGCGTGGAATGAAGGAAGGCCCTGGCTGGCAGTGGGGAAGGGAGGCACAGGCTAGCAGTTGGCAGCCACTAGGGACCCTACGAGTGCATGAATTTCATGTACTGGGCTTTTAGTATATTCATTAAGACATAAGAGCAAACGAGAACAACTTATTAGGGAGAAAGATGATTCCCCCCCTTTTAAAATTTCCACTACTTTTAGTAGTATTTATGTAATTAATGAAAAGTCAAAGAATAAGAAAATATTTTCTTGAGAAGCAGAAACAATGAATGGATTTTGCCTAAATAAATACAGAAGCTAGAGGGGAGAGAAGGGAGGAGGGGTGAGTTAAGTACAGACAGGTATTTAGAACAGTGAAATTATGTATGACACTGTAAGGGTGGATACATGTCATTATACATTTGTCCAAACCCACAGAATGTCCAACATAAAGAGTAAACTCTAATGTAAACTATGAATTCTAGTTAATAATAAGGTATCAATTTCAGTTCATTGATTGTAATAAATGTACCACATTCCACATACATGCAGGAGAAAACTATGGGGGAAAGGACAAGTACATGGTATGTGGTACATACCATGGAACATACAGGAACTCTGTAATTCCATTCAATTTTGCAATAAACCAAAGACTACTCTAAAAATTGTTAATTTTTTTTATTTTCTTAATTTTTAAAAAATATATTTTATTTATTTTATACAGAAAGGAAGGGAGAGAGATAGAGAGTTAGCAACATCGATGAGAGAGAGTCATCGATCAGCTGCCTCTTGCACACCCCCTACTGGGGATATGCCCGCAACCAAGGTACATGCCCTTGACCAGAATCGAACCCGGGACCATTCAGTCCCCAAGCCGAAGTTCTATCCATTGAACCAAACCGGTCCCGACCTGTTAATTTTTTTTAAATGTGGAAGCTGCACCACTGCATATAATCCCTCTGTTTTATTCCAGCATCGATCATTTTCTCTCTGCTTATATCTGTCAAAGGGCTTATGCAGATGTAGAAACGCAGAACGAATGGTGACTCCGAGGTAACAGATTGAAGTGCAAGCAACCTGTCACCTTGATGCCAGATCTGTGCTATGAATCAATCCGACTTCTGAAGGTAAGAGGGACTCCCATCTATTAACCTGGGGACTGAACTGAAGCCACTAGCTAAACTCTTAAGTCCATACTCAGTCAGAAAGCAGCAGAAACAGAGTGGGGGCAACACTGGAAGTCAAACGTTCTTGAGAAGAACTGACTGAATCCAGAAGGTCACAGTAATTAAAGCCATCCCCTGTGACAGACAACATGAGAGGCGTCTTTGAGGTGAAGTTCACTCTAAGGGTTTATGAGCTGCTTCTTTCCCACATGATGCCACAATTGTCCCTCACTGACACCAATAGCTATTCTTACATCTTTCTGCACATAATGAAGGAGAGGTGGGCTACCCTTAACAATTTTGATGTGTAAAACTTCAAACTTTACAATCAGCTAAACTCAATGGGGAAATAAATGAAAGGCCTGAGTTAGCTTAAGTATCTTTATTTCTTGCTTTATTTCTGAATCTCATAGTAAGTCCAACTTATCAATTAAACAGCATTATCTGAAGATTGAAGGGAAATGCCAGGAGCATATACATCTCTTTTTTCATTTCTTCTCAAGGAACTTTAGTGCCTTTCTGAACTTGTTACTGAATGTAGGAGTGAGAAGAGGCTAGGCCCCATCCTCAACTGCCATCCTCTTGGTTCAATGAGTAGGGGTGGGGAATGTCCAGCCCGTAAAGGCCATACAAGGGTCGGGAAATCATTTGGCACAGCCCTGCCAAGGCACAAGGGGTGAGTTAATTAAAGGTTTGACCAAGTATAGCAAGCTAATTTTTAAGTTGGTAATTTTGTATGGCCTGTGAATGATGTTATAAATATCCAAATGACCCTTGGCAGAAAAAAGGTTCCCCATCCCTGAATTATAGCAACTCTCACACAGAAGTGAGTGAACAAGCATCTTCTAAGAATTGAATCCTATCTAATAAGGCACTCCAATTAAGAATCTATTCTTTCTCTCAGTATACACTAAAATAGGAAGTCTGGATTTTCCATCAGGCAACAATAACAAAAAGTGGTTCCTAAAAATTATTAGTGGATTTGAAATATGCCCCTAATCCCAAATACATAAAGCTGTTTTGATAAGGGGAGTAATCACCTGTAGTCTTGCTTTCCTTCTTTGTCTCTCATCGGCACAGTGCACCTACGATAGTTAAGTAAGAAAACGTTAAATGAATATTGCATGCGGCACTGGCTGGCACACACACACACAGAGGGGATTCCCTGCCAATAATGGGCACAGGCAGATTCAAGCTCTTCAGCTTTCCTTGGGAGACATATTATGAATACATTAAAAAATATTAAAAAAGAAAAATGTTTAGAATGCTAATTAAAAAAAAGAAATTGCTTCAATGCTTCCAGCTTTTAACCAGCTCTAAGTCTGGGCTTTTGCACTTTGCTTGATTTTCTGCTAAAAGTATAAGACTGCAAAATTTCTGATTTAGTAAATTAAAGTCAATGTTATCTAAACAAAAAAAGGAAGCTCTACGACCAGTTCTAAACTTTCTTCTACCTCTAGCTTAAATTGGTAGAGCTTTCGTCTGATAGAATTTGAGGAAATAAAAATGCTTGCCACAAAGCAGGTAACCTGGGAGCAAAGGAAGGGCCAGGACCTAGAACTAAACACTACGTTAACTGCTTCAGTTTAAACCTTTTACCAGCCCTGCAGCCTGCAGGGTGTATTATAACTTCACAGGACACAGTATTTTCCTAACTTTACTAATGAGGAAATGGAACTGCAGAGAACCTAAGCACCTTCTTCACTCTCACATGGCTGATCTGTGGTGAGCCCAGACTGGAGTCCCACCCGGCTGCACTCAAGATGCTTTCAAGGAGACTCACCCCAGCTTGCAATCAAAGGAGCGAGTTTCATTCAGAATTTCTCCTCCATTCTCAAGTTCTTCGATTTGCCTCTGAATTTCATAGTCTAAGAAAAACATAGTAATTTAGTAACATATTTTTTATTCCTTTCATCCAGCCAAGCAATATTTAAAAAACTTATAAAACCTTTAACAATAAAGTCAACAGAATCATCCTATCTAATAAAAACACAATATGCAAATTAACCATCACTCCTCTATACCACACAAGCTATGCCCACCAGCTAATTATTAATAGGAACGAGTATGCAAATCATCCAACCAAGATGGCTACAGCCACAGAGTGAGCAGGAGGCTTGGGTTTCCCCGGCAATGGTGGAAGTCAAGCTTTCCGCATATACTGGCAGGCTCAGGCCTTCACTCAAGGCTACAAAGTTTCAATTATAGAAGATAAATAAATTCTAGATACCAGGGCCTCCACTTGGGTAGCGTGGGGGCTGTGGTCAGCCTGCAAGCCACCACAGGCCCCTTACCCAGGCTCCCTCATGCCCCAAGGGAACCCCCACCCTAATCTGGGACACCTTTTAGGGCAAACCAATCAGCCCCCACCCATGCAGCAGGCCTCTATCCTAGCTACTGTGTTTCCCCGAAAATAAGACATCCTCCGAAAATAAGACCTAGCGCATGGAAAGATAAGACATCCCCTGAAAATAAGACCTAGCACTACTTTGGGAGAAAAAATTAATATAAGACACTGTCTTATTTTCGGGGAAACAGGGTAATAAAAGAGTAATGTGCAAACTGACCATAACTCCAACACACAAGATGGTTGCCCCCATGTGGACACAAGAATGGCCATCACAAGATAGCCAGCAGGGGAGGGCAGTTGGGAGGGACCAGGCCTGCAAGAGAGGGCAGTTGTGAGCGATCAAGCCTTCAGGGGAGGGCAGTTAGGGGTAACCAGGCCGGCAAAGGAGGGAAGTTGGGGGCAACTAGGCCTGGAGGGAAGGGCAGTTGGGGAGGACTCAGGCCTGCCGGGGGACCAGGCCTGTAGGGGAGGGCAGTTAGGGGTGACCAGACCTGTAGAGGAGGGCAGTTAGGGGCAAACAGGCTGGCAGGAGAGCAGTTAGGCATCAATCAGGCTGGCAGGCAGAAGTGGTTCGGGGCAATCAGGAAGGCAGGAGGGCAAGCAGTTGGAAGCCAGCAGTCCTTGGAGTGTGAGAGGGATGTCTGACTTCCCGTTTAGACCCTATCCTACCGGAGTTGGGCCTAAACAGGCAGTCGGACATCCCTTGAGGGGTCCCAGATTGGAGAGGATGCAGGCTGGGCTGAGGGACATACCCCCGTGCACGAATTTTGTGCACTGGGTCTCTAATATATAATAATTCTTCCTTTGTGCAACTCCCTCCTTATCCATGATTTCACTCTCTGGTTTCAGACACCTGAATTCAACCACAGTCTAAGATTAAATTTACCCAGTCTCAGATAATGTGTGCTCCTGACATCCTACCATCAACATCATGACCCAGGATGACTCAAAGCAGAGGATTCTCCTTTTGATATATCCTCAGAAGGTCAACAGTAGCCTAAGACTAAATCACAGTGCCTACATCATTCACCTCCTTCACTGTAGTAGGCATTGTATCATCTCACATTATCATGAGTCAAGGGTACGTACAGTACTGTATAAGATATTTTAAGAAAGACAGACAGACTGACACCACATCCACATAACTTATCATAGGATAGTATTATAATTATTCTATTTTAGTATTACTTATTATATTGTTAATCTCTTTCTGTGTTTTATCTATAAATTAAATTTGATTATAGGTATATATAGAAAAAACACACATCTATAGGATTTGGTACTATTCACAGCTACAGCATCCATGGGGACTCTTGGAATATATCCTTTGTGGATAAAGGGGGGACTACTGTACACTATATTTTCTTCTTGTTGCCATCATAGAATTATGGTGCTTAAATGGGTCTTTATTAAATTCTACTCTCTCCCTTTTTGAGAAAACTTGGATTCAGAGAGATTAAGTGTCCCAGTGCAGGTTACACAACTTGGTAGAAGAAGGGCTGGGACCACTATCTAGGCCCAGTGTCTGCATATCTAGAACTGCTGCTTATCAAGATTCAAGGGATCCTTTCCTGGAATCCCAGTGCCACTCTAGAAGGCCCAGGCTAGGCAAGCAAATGAAGAAAGACCAAATGGATAGAGAAGCGTAGCATACATCCAGCACCACGGCCCCACAGGGTGAGTGAGGTCATCTCAGACTCTTTGTTTCAGCTGGGCTGCCAGCTTCCACAGACGCATCAAGGAGCTGAGGCCGGACAGCAGCAAAACCACCCAGTGCATAAGTGCAAAAAACCGTGGAAACTGAATGTTACTGCACAAGCCACTAAGGTTTGGAGTAGCTTGTTACACAGCAATAGATAATGGACACACAGAGGTACAATTAGGAGTAACAGCTGACATTCACCTATTGCTTTGGCCAAGAACCTGGCACTGTTGAGATTCTTCACTTCAGTTCGAACACCCAAAGGCTCCCCAGGATGATGCACAGATATATTGGCATCCACCCTCAACTGGCCCTCTGAAAAGAGAGAAAAAAAAAGACAATTCTTTAGAAATTATCTGAGGCAACATGGTCTTTTAAAGGCAGGAGTGTCCAGGCAAGCAATATCTAACTCTATTTGCTCTTTAGTGATAGCAACCTAACCTTAGAGAAGGAACGCTGGTTCTGAAGTATACGACTGGCATTTCTGTCTGCTTAAGAGAATCCTGGCCCCAAAGCATCTCAAGTGTGTGCATGTATGTGTATGTATTTATGTGCACTTGTGCACACTCCAGAGAGGAGAAATTCTGGATACACCAGCTGGGGACATCTCATTCCTTTTATGCCCCGTAAGAAAAACAACACTGTTAAAATGGATATTTACTCAGCAGTTTTATTCTCAAGCTTTTTTCAAAGTGTCAGAGCTGGGATGTCAGGAAAGCCTCAGAAATGACTATCTGATAACCCTACATGCTCTCCAAAGGAATGGGAATTTCCAACAGTGATTCTGGGAGATTAATAAGAGAGTCCTTGAGAATTTATAGCTCAAGGGCGAGAGCAGAACTTGGATGTTTTCCCTCCTCCAGCACTGTAACAATCCCCTCCTTCCACAGACAGGACTCTGCATCCTCTCTGGCTGCTGTAAGATCTACTGCAGTGGACAGAGCTGTTCAGACTTGGGATCTGCAGTGAGACTCAGAGGGAGGTGTCCCCACCTGGGAGGACCTTCTCTGACCCCCAAAGCCTCTTTAGATTAGGAGCAATCACCCATAAGGAAGCAGGTGCTTTGTGGAGAGGACTAAGAGGCTCTTGAGGAGGAGAGGGAGGCAAAGTTCCAAGACAAATAGGAAAGTTAAGAAACACTGGGTGTTATATGCTACAAAGTAAAGCTCAAATTCTATTTCCCAATTTCACTTTACAATATTTAAAATGGGACAGAATAAGAAGACAAAATGCTAAAGTTTATTTTTCAATTTAAAAACCTGGCTACGAAAATAAATCTGTCAAACCTAAGTGTTCTGATAGGCTGAATAAAGAAATTAATTTTCCCAGATTCCATAGCAAATGCATATAAAAATAATAAAATAGTGTAAACAAATTCCATGCCAAGAAAGGAGACCCTAGGCACTGGTCTCTGCCACTGTGTCCCAGTGCTGGGCTGTGCGGCTCACTCTCCAAGCTGGAGACCAAGGGCAGGCTACTGCTTGCCCTCTCTTCACTCATTCCCACAGGAAAAGGAAGAGCTCACCTTTCTTCCTAATGCAACCCCCCTCTCGTTCCCCCCTCCCCATGCTGACCGTCAGGGGAAAGGTGCCTTTCAGCTTGGAAATTACTCTATGTCTCCAGTCTGACATCTCAAGACTTTTACAAAATCCTGTAGCTCCTTTTGGACTATTCATGCTCACCCAAATCTCAAAAAGTTCCAACTATTTCTGACATCACCAGATTCTCAGTCTGGGGACCCTGAAATCATCTTCTGCTTTTGTTTCCTTTGTCCTTTATATCCAAACTGATAACTAGATCCTATCAATTCTTCCCTCCAAATATTCCTCATACCTGTCACTACTCTCCATTTCCACTGCTGCCACCCTCACCTGAGGCCTCAGAACTTCAAGCTCAAATGACACAATCACAGAAACCAACCCCTCAACCCCTCCTTGTCCAGCCACCTGGGAGCAGCTCTGACTTTCATCTTTCCACAAGGTCATGTTCAGCATTCCCTTTGTTTGCACAAGTGCACAGCCAGCTCCCATTGAATTGACTCATCTCCTCTGCTTGGTATTCTAGAACCCTCATCTGGTCTTGGTTGAAACTACCCACATTTTCCCACTAGGCATTCCATGAGAAAGCTCTCCTCCAGTCAGGAGAGCTCTCTTCATACAAGTCCCTGTCTGCACCTCTGGCTCCCATTCACTCTCTTTATCAATGTGACTGTCCCTTCTCAAACTCTGTTCATCTTTCAAGGTCCCACTTGAGTGTTAATACCTTTTCCTCCTTAAAACCCCTAATCAATAAGCTGGCCTCCACTGCTGGCTCCCCTGCATTATTAGAATATACAATACATAACCAATTTTACAAGATCTAGCACATATGTACAGCCTATTTTGAATTAATCTTATCTTTAAGACCAAAATGGCAGGCCTTTGAAAAATGGGCCAGCTTTTATATATCCCCACCACTCTTGCCTTCACAAGGACATCACTCTTTCAGTCACCTCCTCCTCACAACAGTCATTAACCTCCCTTTCTCAGCACTACTTCTGATATATACGTAAGTCATGTTTCTCTTTAAAAACAAAAACAAAAAAACAACAACCCAAAACCAAAGCCCTACTCTCCTGAACTCAATTCTCTCTTCATCATTCAGCTACCGTTTCTCTACTTTCCTATTCAACAAATCATCACAAAGTTTTGTTTTTTGCACATACTGTCTCCATGATCTCACCTCCTATTTACTTCTAAACCCAGTTCATCTTGGCTTCTAACCCTTCCTCTAGGAAAACGCCTACACAAAGACACCAACAACCTCCTGCTGCCAAATCCAGTGGACAAAGGACATGTTCTCTCTTCTCCTTATGGGATACCTCAGCCACACATGACATACTGATTAATCCTTCCTGAAATATTGTCCTCTCTCAGCTCCTGCGGCCTTAAGTCTCTTGGTTTCCCTCCAGTCTCCCTAGGAGACTCCATTTCCACTTATTTGCTGGTGCTTTCTTTCCCATTCAAACTTAGGACTGTCTTCTTTCCTTATACTCTTGCTGTTTTATATACCATCCATTGCTGATGACTCCTAAATTGATCTCCTCAGCCCAGACTTGGGAGCTCCTCATTGATACCCAACGTCTACTTGCCACCTCCACTTGGAGTTCTCATAGGTATTCCAATTTCTAAAACTAAATCCTGACTTGCCCCCCCCCCCATCCCACAAAGCCATTCTTGTCCTCATCTTTGCAATTTCAATAAATAGCACCACCACCGAGCTCCTCAGCCTTTCTAAAAGGCATCTTTGATTTCTTCTTATCCCTTGACTTGCACACCAGCCTGTTAACAAATCCTCTTACTTTTAAAACCATCTTGAATCTGTCTGTCTTGATCTTTTCATCTTCATGGAAACCAACCCTGTCCACCAAAGTATCATCTTCCATCTGAACAATGACAAAAGCTTTTTACCTGGTCTTGCTTCCTCTTACCCTTCTGAATCTACTTTCCAAAGAGACAGAGTGGTTTTTCTAAAATATTATATAGGCTAAGTCATTCCCTTGCTTCAAAGTCCTTTGAAGGCACCCCACTGCACTTGGAATGAAACCCAAATACCTTCCTGCCATTATCAGTAATCTAGCCCAAGCCTCACTTGATGCCGCATTTGCCTGCTCAGTATGCTTTCCCTGCAGTGCCTGTTAACTATGCTAACTCCAAGTGTATCCTAAGATTTTTCTCATGCAGGGACTTTGCCTTAGCTTTTTCCTAGAATGCTCATTCCCTCCCTCTATGCTGCCTGGGCCTGGGGTCATTCTTCAGGACTCACTCAAATAAATGCTGCCTCCCCTGAGGCCTTCAATCTCCTTGACACCCTATTTATTTTCTTAATGCACTTACCACTATAACTGTTTTTGCTTTATTTGTTAATAAATTTTCCTCCCTCATGAACATAAACTTGTGAATATCCTTGCATTGGCTATATTTAGAACCCAGAGCTGGGTCTGGAACATAGTAATTGTTCAATAAATTAATATGTACCTTATTGAACAAGCCAAAACTCTGGTGTTTTCCTGAGCATTGAGTAAGTGGACTGGTAACTGTCTCATAGCAGGTTCCTGATAAATTCTAAAGTTCCATCTAAGTAAGACTAAACTACAGCTGGAATAATCTGAAAGGCCCAAGTAGCTCAAAGGAAAACTTCCAAAGTATGCTGAGCTCTACTCAACCAAATTTCAATACTTGAGACAACTGTGTTTGAACTCAGGGAACCCTGAATTGGACCTCACTTGCTTTTAAGAATGAAACTATCTTTCACAATTTAGAACTCTTATTTGGAAATGAAATAAAAGCATGAATTTCAGTCTCTCCCAGAGATGACCATGCCATAGAAAAGTCTGAGAGAAATCACTTAGTATCCTGCAGTGTTGAAAGAGCATCCCCTAGCCTGGATTCAAGTATGGCATCAAACATTAACAAAAGATAGTCTATCCAATGAAGACAAAAAACCTTTTAAACAAATTAAGTTACCTCAAATGCACAAAAGCCTTACCAGTCAAGTTCTGCAACACCAAGGGAGGGCCTATATTCACATATCATGAGAATGCTATCAAGCTCAATTTCTACCCCCTAGAAGCAGAGATTTGTAACAGCAAAGCCAAAGAACTACACCACTGAGCACAGTGATATGGTACAGTTACATTACTTTTTCCTGAAACACATTCACACATCAGAAATATAACATCAGGACAGAAAGCTGTTTCTGTAAGCAGCAGGGGCCTGAGGATTTAGTGAGAAGTCTATTAAACTATCTCATTCTGATCACTGAATACTCTCCAGAACTTAAATAACAAGGTTTGACAATGAGAAAAAGTGACCATATTTCACAAAGTGTATTCATCTAAAATGAGCGGTGATTCTGTAAAAGTAACACTACTTACTATTGTTAAAAATACCTAAGATAGTGGGCACAGGCTATTTGTTGAGGCCTGTGATAAGTTTTATACACATTATCACATTCATTCCCTACAATCTAGTTCAATGACAAAGCCACTTAGACACCCTTTAGGCATTTCAAACTTAACATCAAAATGATTTTCTCCCATGAAAGTACTCCTCTCCCGATCGTCCCTGTCTCAGTAAATCATCTCCTTGTCTCAGGGACACTATCCAGCTGTCCCAACTATCTGAAGACTTGGATGGTTTCTTTGCTCTTTGGTTTCTTCCTTTCCCTTTCCATACCTTATTATTTGGGGACTCGTTTCCTAAGTGTGGAAAGTGAGGTTCAGAGAAATCAAATACCGTGCTCAGGTTCCTACAGCTAGAAGTGGTAGAACAGGATTCCATCCCAGATCTGGGACCTTAGTGCCATCAGCACCCATGGTACCCATGCTCTGCTATACTATCTTTCAAAGTTATCTATGGCAATTATGATAGACTAGAGGCACAGTGCATGAATTCATACACCAGTGGAGTCCCTCGGCCTGGCCTGCAGGATTGGGCCAAAACTACCTCTCTGACATCCCGAGGAGTCCCTGATTGCAAGAGGGTGCAGGCAAGACTGAGGGACCCCACTGGTGCACGATCAGAGCCGGGGAGGGATGCAGGAGGTTGGCCATCTGGGGAGGGTCTACAGGAGGGCTCCAGGGTGTGTCCGGCCTATCTTGCTGAGTCCCTATTTGCTGGACCCCAGCAGTAAGCTAACCTACCAGTAGGAGAATTTGCCCCCTGGTGGTCAGTGCACGTCCTAGCAAGCAGTTGAGCAGCCTTAATATATCATTAGCATATTATGCTTTGATTGGTTGACCGGATGACCAGACACTTAGCATATTATGCTTTTATTATATAGGATAGCTATCTATTGTGGTTGCCACTAGAAGGCAGTGTGACCAGTGCTTAAAGAAAAGGCTCCTAGAGTCAGATACACCTGGGCTCAAATCCTAGCACAATCACTTCTTGTGAGCTTTGGATAATTAACCCAACCTCCTTAAGCCTCACTTTCCTCACCTGTACAACAGGCATAAAAACATCTCTCAAGAACTGTCATAAAGTTTAAATGATAAATGAATTTTAAAAATGCTTAGTGAACCAATGAGCACATGCCACATGTTCAAACTGAACATTACTATTGCCACTGAAACATATACATAGGTATCCATCAACTCAACAGACTGTTTGAAAATCTCACAGTGGCAGACATCCCTGAGAAGAAAATGAATTTTGGAACCCAGGCTGAGCTGGTCTATGCTCATCAGCAAAACTATCAGGAACTCATTGAATCACAGCCCAGAGGAATTTAAGAGCCATTCCCAAAGCACCCTGGGGATCCACTGGTCCTCCCCAGAGTGGCCCTCAGTTCCTAGGCTGCAGTGTTTCCAGTGCCAACACAGTGGTCCCATGGTGGTGGGAGTAAAAGGGTCAGGCTGACCCCTGCAGACACTACAGATTTTGAGACCCTCCCCATAGCACTTTGGGACCACCACAGCCACTCTGCTGCTGTGCTATGGGCAAAACTTTGGGTTTATTTTTAAAAGCAACAAAAAATATTATACCAAATGCCATTTAATGAATCCTCTGAGCTGTCACTATAACTGAATTGATGTGTTCTTGCCAATATGGTTTATCTCTTGGCAAGGACCCAGATGGGGTTACTTCTCAGCTAACAGGTGGCCTGTTTATTATTCCATAAGTTTGGTAGAAATCAATTATTTTGAAGAAGAATGGAATAATGAAAACTTTTTTTTAAAGCGACAGAGAATCAACACTTAGTGCATGAATGAATTACCATCCAACCTGCCCATATTTCATTTATGTTCTGTGGGTAAAAGCAGCATGAGCCATAAATCTAAAATGGAGAGTTTTATTATTCTAAAACAAAGCCTTGTTTCTCTAAAGAAAACTTGCAGGCAGCTAACCTTTAAGCCACTCACTCATGTGGCTAGTGTTTTTCCAATCATTAGCCTAAGAAAGATAGCAAATAGGCAAGTTCTGTCTTCAGGTTCAACTTGTAACAGGACTCTGATGTAACAATTTATTGCTTGTAAGATGTCCTATGTGACAAATGTGGCATAACAAATTAAGAAGTCTTTTTGTAGAAAACAGCTATATTATATGACATGAAAAGGTTGGTAAACAGCATCACAAACTGGTAGGGATGAATCATCACCATCAAAAGTATTTACGGGGAACCCACTGTGACCATTCGTGTTGGTTGATGTTACATGTCCACTTGACTGGGTCATGGGGTGCCCAGATATTTGGTTAAACATTATTCTGAGTGTGTCTGTGAGGGTGCTTCTGGATGAGATTACCATTCGAATCCACAGACTGAGTAAAGTAGACTGCTTCCCCACTGAGAATGGGCCCCATTCAATTCATGGGAGGCCTAAACAGAACAAAAGGTAGAATGGGGGGGGGGTGGATTCAGTCCTTCTGCCTGCCTGCCTTTGAGCTGGTATATTGGTCTCCTGTCTTTGGACTTGGGCTCAGACTGGAACTTACACCATCAGCTCTCCGGTCCTCAGGCCTGTGGACCTGAACTGGACTGCACTATCCGCTCCCCTGGAGCTTGCACTCTTGCAAGAGCTCTCCTGCCACTTCCTGACTCGATCTTGGAACTTTTCAGCCTCCATGATCATATGAGCCAGTTCCTTACAATTAATGTCATTAGATGCAAACATACATGCATAACATACACATATTCCACTGGTCCTGTTTCTCCTGAGAACTACTACACCACTGCAGTGATCTCAGATGAACAACTATGTGCAGAATCTATATCCTCTCTCCACTCTTTTTGGTGGCAGAAGATTTTTAAAAAGCCCTGGGAACAGAAAAATAGGGAAAAACCATGGGAGAGACTAGCTTTCAGGGACTTCTAGGCCAGCAAAGCACCTTTAGAAAGGGGTCAAGGGAGTGAAACATGAAGAAACTGAACTTGACAGGTACTTGTAATCTTATGTCAAATGTACAAATACTTAAAATGCATAGTTTGTTTGATCCCAAAGATTCAAGTGGGCGTTCTTGTTTACCTTAATTTCCTACTATATTTCTACTGAATTTAAGATTTTATCTCAAAGTTAAAGTTTAGTGAAATCATAAGCTTGGCTTATAGTTTATATAATTTGGCTTCAGCTGCACATGGATGAAAATTCTCCAAAAGAAGGAAAAGAAAGACCAAAAGGAAAGGCATCAATTAACAACAAAGTGCCACCCAGACAGCTCTCACAAACCGAGTTATTCTGGATAAACACTGTCTTCTAACTGTGAAAAGTGAAACCATTCAAACACATTATTTCATCAACCCTCACAACATTCTAATGCATGAAGCCAGATAGAGCATCTACTCTTGCAACTCTTAATTTCAAAAGCTTGGGCCCAGGGCCTCTGTACCCTTGTTGTTAGTGTGTTTATTTTGGTTAAGGGCTCAGAAAAGAATCCAAGGAAAATTCTAAAAAAAAACCCCACCAAAACAATTAGGAATGTAAAAAGCTGAAAAAAAGGATGTAAACCACTTCAAAGCAGCTGATGCAGAGAATAAAACTTAAGTGCAGAGACCCAAGAAGCAGAAAGGGAGGAGATGTAGAAGGAGGGACACTGCTTGTGAGCTTGTACCTGCCATGTTTGCCTGGCTGGTCCCCAGGGCTTGAAGTATAAGCTGCAGCTCCCTGACAGCTGTTGCTGCCTCTTCTCCACAGGACATATCAGGCTCCAGGACCACTTCCAGAAGGCCAACTCCTGCCAAACGAGAGGTGAGGCGGAGTCAGCCTGACCGAGCTCTGCAATCTGACCAGCAGATAAATTAGGCTGAAATCTTTGGAAAACCACGCATCACTGAAGGACTCTCAAAGTGGGTCCTAGCCTTGGAATTGCTTCTCTCTTTTCCCTCACTTTTTAATCTTTAACTTTGGATCATTTCTTTTAAAGTTGGCTTAAGATATCATGCTGTTGGGTCTGACGAGGCGGCTACGTTTTGTCTCGTGTTAGGGGTGGGTTGTTAGCAAGCCCAACAGTAATCACAGTTCTCTGATCAGCTGTGCCAGTACCAATGCGGATATTCTGATCTCGACCTGTCAGGCTTCTGGGCCTGTGTCCTCAATTTGTTTGGGGAAACTGGAAGGGGTGAAGGAAGGCTGAGAGGAAAACTAATGGAGGATCTCTAAGCCTACCCGCCCTGTTCAAGTCAATGAGCGTCTGGGAACGCAGGTCATCGTGAAGGCTCTTGCCACTGTCTTGCTCCAGCTGGATCTGCTTGATCCTCACTGTCTTGTTGATCACCTGATTCCGATTCTTCCCCACAAAGACACTGTACGCCAAGCTGCCCTTCACAGCGATCGGGAGCCTCTGCTGGGTAATTTGGTAACCTGCCTGCACACAAACAGGAATTACATAGTCACCAGTCCACAAACAAAAGCTGGGTCCAGTTCCCTATTCCTTTTAAGGTCACAAAACTAAAGACTTACCTAAAAACACAATGTAACAAAACAAAACAAAAGAAGGGAAAAGAAAAAGGAGAAGAAAAATTATTTTATACCTTTTAGCCATAATTTAGCCTGGCCTCTTCTGGCTTTTCCTATCCCCCTTTACCCTCCCTGGATATCCCCTGCCCCAAATAATGGTGCAATAAACCAGTGTTTCCCAACCTTCTCTCATGATGAGAATCACCTGGTGGAGTTGTTAAAACACAGATTCCCGGATCCCAACTAAGAAGTGCTAAACTAGAATTTTTGGGAACATATAGGTAAAATTGTATACTTAACTAGTGCTCTAAGACAGATTTTATATACAGAGCACTAAGTTAGGTATGCAATTTTACCTATATGTTCCCAAAAATTCTAGTTTAGCACTTCTTAGTTGGGATCCGGGAATCTGTGTTTTAACAACTCTACCAGGTGATTCTCATCATGAGAGAAGGTTGGGAAACACTGCAATAAACAACCCGAATCCTATCTTCCCTACTGAAGTACCATTTGGGGGAATAACAATAATCTCGTTGTCAGAGGTCTCTAAGGGAATGTATTGTGTCCACTTAATGCATTAGCCTAACCCAGTGGTCGGCAAACTGCAGCTCACGACCCACAGCAAGCCACGGTTTGCCGCTGTGTTGACTAATGAGTTTGCCAACCACTGGCCTAACCGTACATCTGATTACTGCTCCTGACAGACGCTCCTTACTGGGAAGTGAGGCCTAAGCTTTTTGCTATCTACTTTTAGCACAGCTGAGAGCAGTTGCTAGTACTCATAAGCTTGTTTTGTTCCTATTCTTTAAGCTAGCCAATTGTGCCAGCTGCCTCCTTTGACCCAACTTTCCTATTCTTCTAGCCAGAAAATGCTCATATGTAGTTAATGGAAAGTACAGGGTACTAAAATGCTGATGAATATCACAAGGACTTCCTCATCTCCCTCTAAGTGGCGAGGAAGAACTGCTTTCAAATACACACATGAATGGACACACGCTAAAGAGATAGGTCAATAGGGAGAACTGGAGAAGAACAGTAACAGCTGAAGCATCTGCTTCAGCTTGCTGGAGTCCCTGATACTATGTTCTCAGTTCAGTACACCTTTTGATTCTCACAACAATCCTAGCAAGAGGTACAGGGCACGGAAGGGATTAAGGGCCTTGCCCCAAGCCATCGAGCTAGTAAGCATCAATGTCAGGATTTGAACAGGATCGTCTGGCCTCACAGTCCGTGCTCCTAGCCACCCAGCCAGCATTTTCCAAACTTTAGCTGCTTTGGAATCACCTGGCAGGCTGGTCAAAACACAGACTAGCTCCACCTGAAGAGTTTCTGACTGCAGGTTTGGGATGGTAGCTGAGAATTTATATTTCTAACAAGTTCCTAGGAAATGCTGATGCTAGTGGTCTGGGGAACCACACTTTCAGAAATCACTGCTTTCGGCCAACTCGTTCTCTGTGCAAAAAAGAAGTCTCAATTTATAAAAAGTAAACTCTGAGTAGGGCTGCCAAATAAAATACAGAATGCTTAAATTCAAATTAGAATAATTCAAATAAACTGCTTATTCGGATAAATAATGATTTTTTTTTTAGTGTATGTCCCATGTAATATTTGACAATACTAACTCTGGATCATCTGAGCTGCCTGGACCAGAAAGAATAGAAAGACACACATAATCAAAACTTCTCATTTTAGTCCCATAGTACTAAGTCCCCCATCTTAACCAAACTGGTTATCACTCTTAAAAGATGTAAAAATGCCAGTTCATGCTCTCCATCATCTGAAAAAGGGGGATCTGCTAAAAGGCTGCAACCAGAGGGTCCGAGCAACAGCTGGAGAATTCAGGTTCTAGCTGTATTTTTTATTTAATTCTCCCCCCCGCCACCCCCCCTACTAAATACCAGCTCACCCAAGTCTCCAGTCAAGGAGAATGGGAAGCAATATCCTCACCCCCTTTTTTTTTTTTTTTTTTTTTTTAATCTGAAGAAGGGCCATACTTAGTATCAAAGGCTCCGATCAAATGAAACATGATTTGGGGAAACTCATTCAACACTGCAATTTTGGTTCTGTTTAATGTTATAAAAACAAACAAACAAACACACAAACAAAACAAAACTGGCTCCGGTCCACACTGGCTTCTCTAAAAGAAAAACACTTCCTAATTTTAAGGAAAAAGCAGGCTAACATTGGCTTTACTGCTCAGCCGATTCCTGTAGTGAGTCTAGGCTTCAGGCGCATGGTTCTGCTTACTGCCGTCCACTTACTTGCTCCTCGTGAGATGACAGAAATGTCTCCAAAGGTGAGGGTGCTATTATTGGGAACTTCAACTTGAAAGAGGGAAGCTCTTGCTGAGTCTATGGAGCTACAGCATGCATTTACCGCGTTTACCGTTACATCAGCCCCAGAGTTAGCTTTTGTCCTAACAAGCAATTAGCGCCAAACACCACGGCTGGGCTGAGCCTGGGAACACTGGCTTCTTCTACTCCCCATTCAATTATGAGCAAGCCACCAGAAGCATGAGGGTAAGCAAGGAGTCAGCAATCAGGACAACTGCATCCAATCTAGCAAACATCGGGGGGCACCTGCCTTCATCAGGTCGGGCAGAACTTCCTGCTGCGATGGACAGACCTCTGATGGGAAACATGTGAGGCTCAGCCCTCCTCCCCAGCTCCAACCCCTCCAGCTCTGAGAACTTACAGAGGGCAATCACAAAGCATACTTACAGGGAGGTCTGCATAGAAGTAGTGCTTCCTGTCAAACAAGGACTTCTTGTTTATGTGGCAGTTCAGTGCCAGGCCTGTCATCACTGCTGCCTCTACACACCTCCTGTTGAGAACCTATGGAAACACGACACACAGCTCCAGTCTGAACAAATGCTTCTCCCACACACTGACATCCTCCCTGAATATTCAATTTAGCCCTTCAACAGGCATTCTCTCTGGTTCTCTGTGTGGGCAACTCCAGTTCATAAGCTGGCTCTGTTATTCTGGAATAATGAAAACTTAATATAGTATATAAAAGAAAATGCATGCGGCAGTGGGTTCCACTGGGCAGGTAATGAACTGCCACCTTAGGGATCCTTTTCTCTGTCCCTGGCATCAAAGTTAACAGGAGGGTCCCAGAAAAGCTCAGCAAAGTGGTTACTACACAAAATAAATTTAACCTCACTCCCTCTGCAAGCAGAGCAAGGAGCCGGTCAGAATGCATGAGAAGCACTGACTCCTGGGAGAAGGACCCAAGCAGCAGCTCACCAAACAACCTGCATGAGGTTGAAACACACTTTGACAGATGAAGTTCTGGAAATTATAGGACTACAGCCATTTCCTCAAGGGCTGGGAAAGGGGCATACCTGCCTCCAGTCCAGGTTTGGCCAACTCTGAGTGTGCCCTACACCCTGACTCTCCCCAAACTGCTGGTCCCCCCAGAGTCTCTTAAAGCTCAGGGCCTCTGGATCCGCCCTGCCCCACCTACAGGTGTGAATGGCCAAGAAATGGCAATTCCCTATCCCCAAAGAACATGAACAGCTTTTAAGAACTTTGGAGGAGGGAGGGATGGAATAAGACAGACAACTAGAGAGAAGGAGCACTAAATTCTGGATAAAGCCAGGCCCACATGCCACCTGTGCTCTGTGGATATACTGCTGAGACCAGAAGCTATTTCCTCATCTCTGAAACAGATTTGATGTGAGCTGTGGAGTGGCTAGAGTAACAGCCGGAACATCTACTCTACAGAAGAAATTCAATTTTAGTTCGTTTTCCCCACTGCACTTTGGGGAAATTTTTGAGGACACTGTGCTTGCTGATGAAACATTTCTATTTTTATTAGAATATTTATCATGTGCTTTAGTAGCTGTAGTATACTCTTATGCATATAGGGCTTTCCAGTTCAGCATTTTCACATCCAGCATTGCATTCCAGCCTCACAGCAACCCTTGTAAAGAAGGAACTTATATTATTTCAATATTTCAGAAAAAGAAAAACTAAGACCCAGAAAAACTAAGAGACTCACCCAAAATCACAGAGTTGGCAAATGGTAAAGCTAGCTCTAAAATCCACCTGTGCACTTGCCTAGAGGGTGACAAACAATCCTGTGTTTTGGGGACTGCCTCTCCAGGCTTGGACAATGAGTGAGGCTCCCCAACACAGACATAACTTGTTGATCAAACACAGATTTGACAAACAAATCTGCACAATAAAACAAAGAGACATCTCTATTCACTGCAATATACAACCCCCAAAAGATAATCCCAACAGCCACTCTCCCTCCTGGTAACATCACCACATGCCTTTCTCCTGGAAGCCAGGTAACAGAACAAAGACAGCCATCTCATAGCCTCTATTTGGAGTTCTGCACTCTGGGCCAAATTATATTGCCAGCTCTGCACTAATAATGGCTTTCACAAGAAGATGTGTGAGTGTGGGGAACAGGATGCTCTAATTATTGATGTTTTCATCTGCTGTTTGGCATTTTACTGAACAGTTGTTACTGTAATACAAATATAACTGGAAGACACTGCTGCCAAGTTCAGGCCTGATGATTCTGGTCAAGGCAAACAAGACTTCGAAGCTGGTGTCCCTGCCTCAGGCCTTAGCGTGGGCTCTCTTATAAACTGTTTTGCTAGTCTGTACTAGTTCTTGCCTTAGCACTCCCACTATATTTCCAACTACTGCCTCCTCTCTCATCTCTGTCTAATCTGCCCCTTTGAGGCCAACCTGCTTCCTCCCAGGAAAGAAGAAAACTGGTTTTATTTTGCTTGCCTATTTCTAGGCATACGTTTCCAATAAACACTCTATGCCTGGCAGGCTCTAGGGGAGAGAGCAGAGTTGGGGGTGATCATGGACTCTTGTGCCTATGTGCAACTGAGTACACAGACACATGATAAACCATTAATTTCCAAAGAATAAGAATGCAGTAAAACACACAAACACTGCAGTGATATCGAATATACTTTAATCTGCTTTTAATGATTTAGAAGGCTTGAAGTACTTCAGGGTCAGAATTATAAGCATCAATCATCACCACACTACAGTTGCACAGAGGGGCTAGTAAATAGAGAGTGCCAGTTAAAAGAATGCCAACCAAAAATAATTTATTATGATCTTAGTCAAGCTGCTTATGACAGATGGAGGTCTAGGTCAGCATGTTCTGAGGATAGGATGCAGAATTGGGAAATTCAACTTGGGCTGTTTTTATTTTACAACATTTCTTAAATGTCTAAAAAGTATTAGGCTTCAAGGATACAGAAGTAAAGAGGGCTCTGTCACTGGCCTTAATAAATCTGCAGTGGAAACAGGAACCTACCACACCTCTAACGTCCTTCTCAAGTTCACTATCCACACAAGGATGATTCTGCTAAAATGCAAATCTTATAGCATTCTGTTGCCTAAAATCACTCAACAGCCCCTAATGTCTACAGGATAAAGGCCAAGCTCTTACATGATCCTGCCTGCATCTTCACTTTCATCTCCAATCACACCCCTACACACCCACACATATGGTCCAGTTCCCTTTTACAAACCATGCTGACCTGGTGATCCTCCCTATTCTTAATCCATTTAAGATCTACCGAGGTGTCACCAAATCTCTGAAACTTTCCTATATTCCTCCCAGGTACTGCTCTGACCTTCCACACCCTTCCTTTTGTGTTTGAATCACAGCCCATTGAATTGTTTACATATATTTCCATTACACTGAGATTTATGAGAATGGAAATTGTCTATTCATTCTGTATCCCTGAAGCCCAATACAGAGTTAAAAAAAAAAATAGTGGTGCTCAATTAATAGGTGTGAAACTCAAATGAGGAGGGAGGTGATAGATATTAACGGAAGTTTTTTGAGAGGCAGCGATACCTGAATCTCCTCTAAGGTATTACCTGCCACAAAGGTCTTACCTGCCTCAAATTTGTTTCTGGAAGTGCCCTGAAGCAACAACCAATCATGTATGATGTGATCAAAGAGGTGACTTGAAAACTCAAAAGACTAACTCGTCCTGAAGAAAGCATGGTCCAGAATTGTCTTTGCAATTGAAATAAGGTGACTACAAAGGATCTCAGGATTAGCCACAACAGCCTTCATGTGGAAGGAAAGCAATGAACCTTGTAACTTACACAACACACCTTTCTCAACTGAGCCTTAGAATACTTTGCTCTGCAGGAACACGTATTTATCATGCTCATGCACTACACTGTGTCAGCAGGTGTGCTATGCACATCACATACCTTTTGCCATTTAATCCTCGGAGCAATCCTAGGGCAGACACCTATTATGATCCTTATCTTATAGATAGTGACGGGAATTATAGAGATTAAGTCATTTGGCCAAGGTGACACTTATAATAAGAGGCAGAGCCAGGAATTAAGAGCCCCAGAACCCAGGCTAGTACATTCCATCATAAATATTCAAAGAATAAAGACTGCTAGTGTAAGCTTTCAAGACTCAGGAGCAGCAACACAAACTAAAGAGTAAAGTTAAGGTAGATAATTGTTTCTTTTTTTTTTTTTTTTTTTTGCCAGTTTTTATCTCTATAGGTTTGTTTCCAGATGGTGAGCACCTAGAGGGCAAACGCTGTGTTCTTTTAACTTTGCAGAACACTCAACATACAGTCTCTGGCATGTGGAGGTTTGATAATGAGTGGATCTACAGGCTTTCTCCATTAGCAGGGGAATGTTTTATTGCTAGACTTCTGAAATCCCTAGACACAAACACTCATGAAATGCCATATCAAATAAGTAAATGGCTTCAAGGATACAGAAAGAAGCCAATTCTTTTTTTTTTAATCAGAATATAAGGAAGGTATGATAGGTAGAGGCAGGAGATGAGATAGTCAACAAATTTCATGACTACAGAGACAGAATGGGCAGATCATGGTCAGGAAAAGGATTATGAGGGTGGATGTCCCATCACTACCCTAATCTAGTCCTCCTCCACTCCCACTGACTCTGCTAAGCACTGTCTCCCCAGCCAGACTGAGCTCCCTGAGGGCAGTCATTTTATCTTATTATTCTTTGCCCCATTATCTACATCTGATTAACTGAGGTAATGGATAATTTAACATTCCCTTTATCAACATTCATAAGCTATGAAATGAAAGCAAAATTGTTGTATAAAAAATGTGTCAGGAAAAAGAAATCACTTAGTATGTAAAATAGGACACATTTAATGCAAAGACTTTACAGTGGTGATAGAAGAGCTGAGACATCAGAGGGCCCAGGGAGGCCACTTAGGAGATTCTCAACTGCAGGAAGCCAGTCCTACCCCAGGCACTCAGAGAACACTAGACACATGGTAGATTTGACTCCTACTAGCTGGAGCCCTGGTAGAGGCCCACCCACTACCAGAGATGTTGTCAGAGGAGAAGAGGGAAAGAGTAAGACCCTGTAGCTGCTTTCCTCCCACCTCCAGTCTTTCATCAGATCCTGCTCTTGGCCTCACCAGTCAGAAGTCAGGTAACCTGGGAACTAGAAACTGGAGGTGGAGGTGGAGAATGCACAGATGCAACAGGGACCAGAGCATTCTGAGCCTATAAAGATGTAAAAAAAATAAAAAGATAAATACTGGTAAGTTACTGTCTTACTCTGTAAAATTCAAACTGAATGTAACCAGCTATGTAAAAGAGCATGTAAATAAGAGCTGCAGAGAGACAATTTGGGCCTCCTCCCACTGAGTGTATGATCAGACAGTGGAGAAAACAGGAAGAACAACTCCTTAAGATACCAAAGAAGAAGGCCTTAATAGAAAAACCAGCAAAATGGGCAAACTTGGAGCAGAGGCTAAGACTTGGATTATAGAGCAGCGCCAGAGTGGCTTATGTGTGTCAACTCAATGTCAGGCAAGAATG